CTGAACCAAATGAAACTGATTTAGGAAGTGTTTATTTAAGTAAAAATCAATATGAATGCAAAATGATAAAGAATATTAAATAAAATTGGCTGAAAACCTCGCTAGATTTCTTTTTATCACAAAATAATCCGGCAAATAAGTTATATAACCACTAATGTATTACAAAACAGTGGAATAGGTGTAAAGTATTAAAGAAAGGAAAATATGTAAACACATTTATTTTTAAATTGTTTACTTTATAATAAGCTTTCAGTAAAGTAATCGAAAAGCTCACTTGGCTAACACCTGAAACAACAAAATCAATCAAATGTGGTGACACGAAGGGTTTTCGAGGTACAATATTACAGTCATCGGCTAAATAGTCATCATCGGTGAACGCAACAGCTGCGTCCAGACCATCTGCATCCTGATCCGAGCCATAGAAACCGTCGACAAAGCAAGGTGAGTGACGCCTTTGCGGGGTTTTGGCTGGATCGGGTTTGGCTATACGACTAAATGGCTGGTACGCCTCTAGTAAGGCACGCACCTGCTGGGAGTTAAGCCGAGCCAAATCAACGGCCACATTGTACAAGCTCTCTACGGAACTGACATCGGCAAGCATGAGGTCTGCAGCCTATGAGGATTCAATAAATAAGATATATTTTGGGAATAAATCATAAATATAAGTAAACTAATAAAAAGTGATAGGACTATATACGTGAATGACTGTCTGAATTTTAAAATTCACAAGGTCTCTATTAATATAGTCACTGAGCGATAAAACATATAGACATGAAATTCGCTGTGTATCTTCTATAATTAATCATAGCTATAACTTTATTCTTCAAAATTAGCCCAATAAGTATAAGCATTTACACCACCGCTAAGCCCAGTGCTAAAATCCAGTTTTGCGAAAGCATGCAGAGTGCTATTAAATCCAACGACTCAATGGATATCCAACAGTTGTTTACTCGATTCATTTTCTTCTATGCCAAGTATGTAACAAGTAAAAATTTAAGATATCATATTAATTATTCATGGCGAATGGTACCCGGATCAATTCAGTGAAAGGGGCAATTTAAGCAAGTCCATTTGCGAGCCCATAATAAACTTTTAAAGTAGCCTATGAATTGTCTAAATAACTCATTCTAGTGATATCTAACCAAAATGTCTTAAAATCATATTATAATATCCTGTTTAATGGAATCAATCAAAGTGATCTTTAAAATGTGCATCTATTACGTAGATTTGTACCGGAATGCGGAGTATTTTTGGTAGTAAAAATATGGTAACAATTGTCTTAAGCACCCGATTATCAGCATCAGTTAATTATAGAATTCTCCGAATCCCAAATCCAGAGAATATTTTTGATTGAATAGGAAATAATAAAGATATGAAGACAAAGATGTTGTGGCCTCTGGTATGGTCGCTGTCTCCTTTCAATTTATACAAGTAGGCTGACCTCGTCGCAACTTAGTCTTGTTGTCAGGAGGACTTAGTAGAACGCGCCTAGTCAGAAGTCGTTTGCCATAGTAGTTGTGATGATTCCCAGCATCAGACAGTGGACTTGGTACATTCTCAAACGTTTCGCCGGCATCGTAGTCATCATCATCAGTGAGTGTTTCCATTCTCCGCACCAAGCTACGAACTCATCAGGGACAGAGTAACCGTTTTTGGCAGAACGTTGGTGGAAGGATTAACTTCACTTGTCTCTTTGACGAGTTCGTAGCTTGGTGCGAGGAATGACAAAACTCACTGATGATGCCGACTACGATGCCGGCGAAACGTTTTAGAATGTATCAAGTCCACTGTCTGATGCTGGGAATCATTACAACTAGTATGGCAGATGACTTCGGACTAGGTGCGTTCTACTAAGTCCTCCTGACAACAAGACCAAGTTGAGACAACGAGATCAATCCACTTCAGGAAATAATAGAACTTCTTTCTGATAGAATTTCTAAGCATGAGATAGATTCAATTAAATGGTTGGATTATTGTAATCTGTGAAGTTGTTTTGCAATTAATAACCGTTTGGAATCAGTTCAAAGATCAGAAACAAAGATTTGCAAACATCTAAAATGAATTATATTCAAAGCATAGGATAACAGTAGCAGAGCTAAGCCTAGGCGCCATGCTACTCTGTTATTCTGTGGCCAGCATGTTTTTCTAACGAATTCAATTTTTAATTTCCTGCAGATCAACATATGTGAATGCATAGTGAAAAATTTTAAAGCAGCATTATTTTGGTAGCTAACACTTGTGATATGCACCAACTGCATTGAGACAGCCATTCGTGGCACTAGAATAGTTAATTTTTGGCACCCATTCTAATCCGAATAGCACCCTCTTGCATAAATATGCAGAATAAATTGTGGTGTGTGGGATCTCTTATTCATATATAATTATCG